GTCGGGTTGGTGTGCGGAGGCCTAAAGACTTCAGGAAGTCACTGCTCTGAGACGGGGAATAGTCTGCCATAATAAACAGTCATTTTTGCACTTGTTCAGATTAAACAAACAAGATCTAATAAGTATGTTTCACAGATTGTAGAACTCCCTATACGTCTGTTAATTTATTGTTGATGCAATAATGCCTTCCACAGCTTTATTTCTGATTGAATCAGATTTCCTGTAAAGTTTTCATTTTTGTTCCTAGAACTAAATGTCTTTGTTTATAGCTTTTAGCATGGGTTCATTATGAGTCATGCTGATTGTCAAGTACAGTATGTGAGATGACTCAGGTGTTTTCAAAAACGTATGTATTTTTTAATCTCCAAACCCATCTGTAGTGTTGCTACAAACAGTTATTAGGTGGGTTAAAACTCTTTCCTGGGGTTCAGTGGAGGCTTTTAATTTCACATGATCATATGAAAAGTATCTAACATCAAATGTTCATTCTTTTTTATTTTAATCTCTGGATTAATGTCTAAACATGTCGATAACATCGTACTCACCCTCCACACATGAGAAACTCGCTGGAGGGCCGGCGCCCCACTCCCATTGGCTGGTCATCTGAGGAGGAAGAAAGAAAGAAAGACAAGAATGATAAAGGTGCAACATGATTTACCAATGTATAAATGAGCAATAATTAGGTGATTAAATGCCATTCAAAATGCCCGATGACACTCCAACTGCTCTGCACTTCATTGTTTGAGTTGAGGACTAACAGGTGGATGTGTTGTGTGTGTGTGTGTGTGTGTTGCAGCAGGTGCAGAGCATAAGGGTTCATTTTACCAGTCAAGGGGGTAAGTGTGTGTGCCTACTGTTTAGGGACTGATGTCTACAGTTACAGCATGAAATGGTTAGCAGCTGTCTAATTTACTGCCTGTGGGTTTGGTGACATGTGCTATGTGAGTGAGCATGTGTGCTGTAGGTATCACTGGCAGGTAGCGAATGTGACTTCACTACATAGCCATTGTATGTCTAGATTTCAAGATGTCTGTGAACTCTGTGTCACAAATGTATGCACTGTCTCATGGTTATCTATATATTACAAAATGAGGATTAATGGGACTACTACCCCTCCTGTTTCTCCTATTATGCGATACATTCAAAGCAGGCAACTTTCTGCACAGGGCTTTATGGCTTTATAGAGCTTTGTCTTTTCAATGAAAAGAGCCAAAAGCCCCTTCTGAACAAAGTAACTGATTTTGGTTTGTTTATTGGATTACATAAATGCTTCCAGACAGTCAACATTTATTGTATAAGCCGTCCTACTATGAACTGAGAGTGTACAGTGCTAAAGCCATTTCTAGAGCTGGGTAATATAAACAATATAAATGCTGATAGAAAATGTAATTGGAAAAAAATTGGAAACTTCAACGTACTGTCAAAGACTTACATTATTTGGCAATGTACTAACAACCAATCAAATCACAGACACCAAACTATTTCGAACCAATCATATGGAAGTCTATTAAGAATGGACAGCCCACTTAGCAAAACAGGCACAGCAGAGTTGGCTGAGTTAACAAAAAACTCACCACATGCTTTTGCTTTGGTAGTCGGACTCAGGAAGGGGACTGTTGGTTTAGAGTTAGAAATCTACACGTTGAAAATGGTAAGTTAGCCTGACCCTAATCTGGCCGCTCATGGTACAAATGTAATCAAGCTAGGAGTGGTTCTCTTTTCTTCTGAGGGGATTTATCCATTCTAATGCCAGGGCTCGCCTCCCCACTTGCAAATGTTCCACCAAAACAAGTTCCCCCCCAATACTTTTTTGCAAGGGTTCCGATGCTGCATGCTTGGGTTTGGCGCCACCCAAGACGATTGTGATTGGTTTAAAGAAATACAAACAAGCCAGAGTTTTTTTTCCCTGTCTGATTTATGGGAATCCCACCAGATGGCAGGCTTTAAGAATAACTATATAGAAACAGCCAATCTTCTTTCTGATGGTCTTGTTTATTTATCTAGGTCATATAGAGGCACCAGTAATAAATTGAGACTGTTTCATAACCAGTTAAAAAAACTCCTTGTAGTGCCTTTAAAGTCAGCAAACAGATGTATGCTTTTATACTTTTATGAGGGGAACTGAAAACAAATTATTCTTTTTATTTACATAGAAACTGTTTGCAGTTCATACAATACTTGGTCATTTTTCAGTGGATTGGATTGACAACTAGGGAATTTTAAGCTCAAGGGACTTAAAACTGAACAAAACCATTCACTTAATTCATATTGTGATACTGTATACATCAATATTGACTGATGAGATATTGCGCAGCCCTACAGGTAATAGTTCTACAGAAAAGAAGAAGTGAGGACAGGTGATATATTAGCCCAAATACCCACCCTTTCAAATAATCAGGCGAGTTACACTTGAATGAGTTTAGGTGAAATACAGTCGCTTTATGTGTATGTACAGTGTGAGTGTTGCCACTTACAGCTGTCGGTAGAGATGTGAGGCACCAGGACAAAGTCGTCAGTGTCACAGGACGAGTTCTTACTGCTGGTGCTTCCCGCAGACTCTTTGGACAGCTGCAGGAAGTTGGGTGGACCGAGTGGAGGGGATGACAGACCATCCTCTGCTAGTGTCTGCATGTCCGGGAGAGACTGTGCGGTTGCAGACAGAGAGGAGAAAAAAGAGGATTAAGTTGTAGCGTGCCTCCTGAACGATGCAATTAAGGCTTCCAGGCAAGGCAGTGCTGACTGTCAAACTGATGTAATCATGTTGGTACAGAGAACACTGACATCCTGGGAAATTGACTTGCCCTGCATTCCCACTGATGCCGTGAGATGAGATGTACCGCTGTGCAGAGAGATTGTTATAACTAGCATTGGATGTCTTGGTAGAAGCAGCACTTAAGATTGCAGAATTTACAACAGTAGAAAGTAAGTTAAGAGTAGAATATGTGTTGGTAAACTGACTTATAAAATGAAAATATACATTTTACGAAGGGTCAGTTTATTCTCCCTTTTGAACCGTGTTGAACTTTTCAGGCACTGTTTGTGCTGAATGAAGCAAGCAAGCACTATAGGAGCACAGCAGGGAGGTTGTATTTTATTGGTTAATGGTTAATATTTTATTACCTTTGTCGCAGTGGATTTATAAAGTAATATCAAACTCACAGGAGGGGAGTTGTAGCGGATACATGGGGAGCTGCCACAGGAACTGTCCGTCACTGCATTGGAGGTGCTGGGGACCGGCACTGGACAAGCTGAGGGCAATAAATGCACGATTAATCATGTTTTCAAGTTGGATGATGTGAAAGTGTAGTACTGTACTCTATCCTGTTTCTGAATGTGACCTTTGTGCTTACATTTTTTAATAGAGGATGACGGCTCCAGGAAAGGATGGCTGAAAAAGGCATCTGCAGAAGAAGGGGTTAGAGGAACAGAACAGATCAGAGAAGTTTTTAACAAACATCAAGACCTCAAACTTGAACAGTACATTTGCCATTTAATTAAGACATTGTTATTATGTCACAACTCACCAAAGTCCATCCTGTCTTTCTGATTCCTCTGCAGCAACCCAAGCAAAAGGTCGCTAAGTTGTGGGGATGTCTCCCTTGGGATGCTGGGTAATGAGAGCATGGGAACATTAATACCTTGTTTCTCATAGGGTGCAACAACAATCTTTCAAGTTAATTGCATATCACACTGCGCAAGATGGATCAAATAAAGTCTTGGTTGCAATCTGGGTCAGATGATACGATGAATGCCTGGTTAACTATAGCATTATGATATAAATAGAAACAAGGGTCTATGGCCATACTAGTGGCTCTGTGAGGCTGCACAGCAGGGCTAAAAGCTAACCTCATGCTAACATGCTTATGCTTAGAGTCCATATGTCCATATAGATGTCCATATCTTATGATAAGTCGCTAACGTAATTAATGTGACAGTCGATAATTACATATCGCACATGTTCTACGATAAGTCAATAACGTAATTATCATGACAGGCCTACTGGTGGTGGCTCGAATGACAGTGCCGAATGACAGTGCCACCCACAGACCCATGTCGCTACCACGACTAAAAACAGATGCAAGCAGAGGCATGTCATCAACCGGCATCATCCCATCTGCACCAGCCTCAAAGACTTCACCAGAATTTCTCTCAAACAATTCAACTTTCATCTGCGACAGCCCAAATTACACACAGCAAAAGAAGCCAGAGGGTTTGTGGCTTACATAGGTTGTAGATTCTTGTTCTTCTCATAGAACATCCTCAGGTCTTGGGGACTATTGGCCTGAAAATATTAGAAAGAAATTGATGCAGAGATACACACATCTACAAACACATTTGCTCCCAGTTTGTTGTGCACAGTATTTACCTGGAACGGTGGCTTGCCGACCAGACACTGGTAGATAACTGTCCCTATGCTCCACAGGTCGGCCTTGGCATCGTAGTTCTGGGACATGATGACCTCTGGGGCCTGAAGGAGGAAAGGTTACAAGTAAAGATCCAGAGCAGGCAGAGTTATGCAACAAACATTTGAGAACGCTGACAGGTCATTTTAAAATGACTGACCTCAGCTGCAGTTCTAGACACACACACACACACACACACACACACACACTAAATCACACTGACCATGTACATGGGTGACCCACATAGTGTGGCTGCCATCATGTTGCTCTGGAGGTACCGTGCAAAGCCAAAGTCAGCTGCAGGACAGAAGCATGAAGCAAACCAGTCAGTACATGTGGTATTATTATTATTACTAGTAACACAATCCACTATTGTTGGACTCTGGAGGATTGCCTGGGAGACAAACACTGGGACCTCAACACATGCATAAAATAGTCTTGGATTCAAAACAGAGATGAGCCTGTGATGGAGAATGACATCAGAAAATGCATTAACTACAATACTCTACTTCAATTCACTTCTGAATTGAAAAGTAGGACTAACGAAACGCAGCATTATTTTTAAATTGCTTAATCGTGATAATGTCTCTATAAATTTGGATCCAACAGATGCTCTACACTGTTTTTATTTCAGCCCTCTGACACATAAATAAACTACGTATGTGTCACTACAAGACACTGGATACAATATTAAATCTATTAAGTAGAAGTCTATAGTATATGATAATCCTGACCAAAAATATACCATGTGCAGGCATTACATTAGCTGAAAAGAAAACCTGTAGCAGAAGAAGTCCCCATCCAATGTTTTTAAAGACCAAAAGAAGGACTGTCACCTATTTTGATGCGGATGCCACTTATGTTGGACTTCTTGCGGCCCACATAGGACAGCAGGATGTTCTGGGGTTTTAGGTCACGGTGGATGATTCCTTTGCTGTTGAGGATGCGCATAGCAGCTGCAATTTGCTGGAGGAAAACCCTCAGAGTGTCTTCTCTGAGCGTCCCCTTAGCTAAATAAGAAAAAAATGACAAAAACCAAGGATTAGTATCAAAATGGTACCGTTTGTCAGCAATAACAGGACAATGGCTTCCCCAGGAATGTGACACCTGCCTTCTTAAAAAGGTATTCTGTGGAGTCTTTGACCTCTAGTAGCACTAACAAGGCGTTTATTGTTTTGTTTGTCTCGTTCCTGCAAACGTAAGGACTTGAAATGTACACGTTTGTTGGAGCTCAAGGATGCATACCATGTGTTTTGATGAGTAACACCGAATGTAAACATAACTTTTGTTAGATTACAAGGAAACTCAGCAGAGCACCTTTTAGACAGTCTGCTCATTGAGATGCACCTTCTTGCCAATTGTTTCCTGGATAGCTGTCTCAAGGCTGGCCTATTGATCTTATCCAGGTGCTTCCTGCTGCCTAATGAAGCACATTAATGAATAGTTTCCTTGGTCTGCACTGACATGATGCAGTCAATATTTAAATACAATAAAACATGCATTAACTCCACAAAATGAGCATATCAGCCTCACTTGATTAAAGCTAATAATTAGCATATTATAGTAATAAACCTACGGTAAATAGTGTAAATTGAAGCAGTGAAGGTCATTTTCCCTGGTGGTAGTGAAATAAGTCTAATTCGATGTGAGACTAAGAGGATTCCTCTCTCCCTCTCATTTTCTTTTTCTCTCTTTATCAAGCCATTGTGATTACAGTGTAGGCATAGATCAAACCAGTAAGCTTATCGACATTAATCTAGGATTTGGGGGGGGTTAGCTGCTCTCTGCCCACCACAGTGGATCAACTTCTAACATGGAAAAGTTGTGCAAGTTGTAGAAACATACAGTAGTGAAATCTTATATAATACATAAGATGTTACCTACGCAGTGTTTACAGCCTTGAAGTGAACAGAGAAGCCCTTCACGGACAAAGTGACTAATAGTTGAGTACAGCCCACGGTAACAGTCTCAACACTAAAGCACTATGACCCCACAGGTTTCATTTCACAACCGGCAGTGTTACTCAAGCAGAGACTGCTGGACCACCCCGTCACTGATGGGTCTGACCATGACCCACTCTGTAAACTGCAAATGTGGACATGTGGGGCAGGTACATTATGCAAAAGTACAGTGATAAGAGAGCTGTTCCTGCACAATCAGTGTTTTTATGGAACAGAGGTATAAACACCTGTGGTTATCTAACAGATGTATTGGCAAACTGCCACTCTTCTGGAGGGATCTGAGATTCCAAAAGCCAACCTGATTTTAACTCTGTAAAACTATTCACAACAACTATAGTAACACATTTTGACACTCAAATATGGTGAGATCATCATTCTGAAACGCAAAAGCTGTAAGAGGATAACAGATACCATAAAGCTTTCAGGAAAACCATTCTATTTAGCAACCAAATGAAGGTTGTGCAATGAAAAACAAGGACATATTGATGATGTGTGTTTTGCTACTGTATGTATAACAGCTATTGTACATCAATGATAAAGATTTAACAAAAAAGTCCACTGACTGGAACGATTATTCATCCATCCAAATCACCACATGTGATGTAGCAGAAAAGGGCTGTATCTAAAAGCTCAAGAAGAAATCTAGGACCTTGAGTTTTCCAAGGTCAAGAATGAACCTTCAAGCTTGATTATGGCGATAATTAAAGTGCAACAGGTATTTATCCATAACAACAGGCAGTAATGTGTTGCCTAGATGGCATCTTATCACTAAATCACAAGTGCAAACAGTCTGTAAGCAGAAAGTATTTAAGTTATTATGGTAGTGAAGGAACTTCCTTCACCAGTATGTTTTGTGTTGTATCAGTGTTCTGTATAATGACTTTTATAGACTGCTTACAAGTGTTTGAGGAAGAGAAACTATTCTTATTAGATCCTATGTTGTTGACTCAATCGGGAATGTCTTTAATTCCCAGGTTTACTAGGGATGTGGACATAGTCTGCAAAAATGTAAACATGGAATTTGACATTCTGGTTTTCTCACTTGCAACTTTAGACCCTAGCTGTCAGACTGACACATCCTACACCCATGATGTCACTGACAACATAAAAATGGATACACCCCAGTGGTAATGCAAAACAAGTGGTGGAAACAGTAAAGCAATGCTACCAATGTGCGTTTGTCTTTTATTTGTTGTCTACTAGACTTTTACTCAGACTAGGATTAAATCAACACATTCCAAATTTCACTGAGAAGCCAGGAGGAGGACTGTATTGTTGGTGAGGGATACACTAGTATGTATACATTTGGACTCTTACTGTATGTTCTTCATTTTCTTTCCTGATTCATATAAAACAGAACTTCCGAACATCCCTTTCACTGTCCATTATGTATCATTTCAGTTTAAGCTTACTTGTTGCTTTCAGAAATGCTGACCTCTGTTTTAAACTGTCACAATGGCATATGCACTGTGCTGACTGACTCTGAACTAGAGAAGGAACCCTTTGTACAAAGCTGCAGTTGTTCCCACGCACACAAACACATGGAAAACATGAAGACATAAAAACACTCACTCATAGGGACACACACAAGCTCTTTAACATCCCCACATGATACAGACTTGCATTATTCAACAAACTATCCATCACACATAGATAATAAATGCACAATTGGTGCACACATTCCCACACCTACACTCATAATAGCTGCAGTCACATGGCTTTTCCTCCCCTGCAGCATTAGTAACTTTGTTTTGATGAATATCCGTGTGTGTGTGTGTGTGTGTGTGTGTGTGTGTGGCAGACAGATTAGTGTGATGCTTACCTTGCAGATAGTCGGCAAGATCACCTCCGTTACAGTACTGTGCATGGGGAGAAAAACAATCACTATCAGCAACAATTAAATTCTGGTTCAACAGGCTGAGAAGCACATTTTTGTTATTATGTGTGCGTATGTGTTTGAGTTTGTCTGTGTATATGTACACGAGTGTTTGTTCAAATCTTAGCCCAGATAATGGCGGGCTCATCAATTAATCTGCTGAACGACGGTAGCTTTATCTGTGCTGACAACCTCTGTTAGAGTGCAGTTAGTTCTCAAGAGGGACAACAAGAACAGACGGATGAGGTGAACTGGAAGTGAACTGCTGATTGGGTAAGCACAGACAAGCAACAGTGAATAAAGTTATTGTCAGCTTCCACTGTAACATTGCTTGCTTCACCCTGGTCTCAGCTTCTGAGGTGAACCTCGTGTACAAATGGGTGACTTATTAAAGGAAAAGCCACATGAAGCTGGAATAGAGTCTCTGAACTCTACTGGAGGAATGAATAGCATCCTTCCAAAAGATGACCTCATTTGGTGTTTTTTTGATGGTAGTGGAGAGCCCTTCTCTCCGAAATCACCTATAGGTCTTCAATCAGGCTGAAATCTGGTGACTACCACAGCTTATTTACATCATGTGCAAACTCATTAACCCATTCAGTCATCCCTTGTTACGTGTACTGAAGAATCTGCATTATTTATGGTTCTACACTTCAGGGTTTCCCTTTAATTTGCTACCTGTCTATATTGTTTGTAACCTGTTAAAGTGTGACTTGGCACAACAATATGTGGAAAGAGTTGCTACACAAAAAAATCTGTTGTTTAACTATCTCTTATGATAAAGCTGAATTTAATTCTGTTTTTTGCATCCAGCTGTTGTGTATTAAGACACTGGTTGACCTCACCTTCATATGAAGAATTCAAGTAAGCCTTAGCGAAACATCACACTTCAACAGAATTTATAGACAGCGTCAAACCATGGACAGGTGTTGCCTTGCTGTTTACGTGCAAGTTAACCAATCCAAATCACACTATGCCTGCTACTGTCTGTTGGCAAAGTGCTGCACTAAATGTCCTAAAACAAACATCTTCCTTTCCTTACAAACATTGCTAAGAAAATGTTTTTTTTACCCTCCAGACTGAATGTTCAAAGGGTACAGTATTCCTTTCATTTGCATTGCACCTGGCTCAGTGCATCTCTTCAGAACACTTTCATCTGATACTTTCACCAATGTTTGAGTAAGACAAGCTTTATCCTGCTAAGCAAAACGTGAGGCATTAGCATTGATTTAGACAGACTGAGGTTTGTGCTTCAAAGTGCAGCAAGGGCACGATCCTCGCAATGTCCCTTAAACCGCTTCATAGCTTAAAATGTAAAATATAAAAAGCCATTTATCTAAAAACAACCAATGGCAGGTCTTGTCTTTTACCTGTGTGTCTCTGAAAACAACACAATGAAAAAAACTGTAATGTAGATACCCTCAAATGAATGTAATTTAGTCATACAGCAGCTGATCCAAACATAAAAAACACCAAAGGATTATACTGTATAACTGTCTAAACATAGACCAAAACAAGATTTTAAGCCAAGGCTTTCGGGGAAACGTGATTCCTACAAAACAGACGGCTGTGTTCTGAGTTAGTAACTTGAGGTGCATACATGGTTTGTTTTCAACCCTGCGGCCAGCTGAGCGTATTGCAAAATGACTGGAGAAAGTTGGGAGGGGGAGGTTGTCAGCAAGCTAAGAGAGGAAACTGAGACATGATGTGAAAGAAAACAAGTGAGGAAAAGACAACAGAGAAGATTGACGGGGGAGGAGCGACAGCAAGGAAGCCTGCAAAAGGGGGAAGAAGACCTGCTGACAGCCGGTGCTGGGGGTAAAGCATTACTCTGTAATGAATGCTCAAAGTACGTTTTTGTGGTAATGGCTGCATTGATAAGAATCCATCTCATTACTTATGTTATTAAGTAAATACATGTTAATAAATAATAAAGAAAAGTGACTAATAAAGAAAAGTGACTAGAGTAAGTAACAAAGTAACCAATTATATTAAATACCAACTCAACCAACACGTGAGAAGGAGATAAGAGTTCTGACTCATGAAATATCCAGACAGTCACGTTTCTGTTCTTACCTCCATGACCAGGAAAACAGAGTTGGGTGTTTCCTAGAAGAGAAGAGACACAGAATCAGTTACAGAAGCAGCGGTCAGCTCCACCACACAGCTGTAAGAAAAACAGCCACTAGAAATATTTCAAAGTACATTACACCAGCACTTGCTATTTTTGACAGCCATGCTATCTCTGAACATGTATTTTTGTGTTGTGAAAATCCTGTTTGATGCTTATGACAGGTAGTAATTCAAGTTATGTGTTTTGCACAACCACAAGTCACAGAAAAATGACCTCCAGTCAACATAAACCATTGTGTAGACCTGACATTTTCTGAGAAGTGGAAAGGACAGTAACAAATGTTTAGTAATTTTTCAAGCAAAAATGCCAAATTTTCCCTGCTTGCCAAATATGAGAATTCGCACAATACAGGGGTATGATTCCATATATTGCCATATATTGCCATATATTGCTATACTGTAAGCAATGTGATATATTGTGATATAATATCACATAACATACTATCGCAATATTCAAGTGTACTTCTTTACTGAATATTGTATAATCAATAATAATTCATAGCATATTGAACATGAAAATCAAAAAAACAATCAACAGATAAATCAGAAATGTAAATAATTGTTGCAGCCCTAATGTACTTGTTTAAAGAAAGAAGGCTGCAGCTCTAGTTTGGGAACCAGTTAAGCAATATATAGGCAATAACAGTGCCTGTAAAAATGTAGCAAAATGATATCTTGCTATATAACATTACTATATTACTGTGGCATTATCAAAAGTTTATTTATACAAAGATGTGGGGACTGTAGGGCAGTACGAGTTAAGAGTGATTGAATTGCATCCAAATGAGTATATTGCTTGGGCATACCATATATACACTACCGGCAAGAGACATAGTACATATTTAGTTTTCTGAGCAATCTGCTTGCGCATGGAATGAATCAGACTGACATCAACTTCTGCACCCACTAGCATTTCTAGCTACCAAAAGACAACAACAAAAAAAGTAATTCAGTTCACCATTCCACATATAAACAAATACTAGGTGACCGTGGTCTGACCACTAGCTACAGTACTGTGCTACATGCAAGTCAAGTGACGTGTGACCCCGGGCTTATGGGCTTGTTTGTTTGGTTGGTAAGAAGCTCAGTCTCCAATCCTGCACAGTGTTTTCTCCAACTGGGGCAGGTGGTGGTGGGGGATGGGACACCAGTATTCATTCTGACTGTATGTGTGTGAGAATATGTGTGTGTGTTGGGGGGGCTAGGAGGGGATTACATAATGAGGATGTATTCTGCAGCGCAATCTGGAGAAGAGGGGGGATGGGAGTAAAGTGTCGGGGTGCTGAGGGTAACGGGTACGTCACTGTCTCATCACAAAACACACACACACACACACGCTGGCAAAGACTGAACATTCTTACACAATGACAACCTCGAGTGTCCACTATCCAACGTCAGAGAGAAAACTGATCAACAAACAGCAGAGCGAGAGTACTTCTAAGAAAAGCTTCTGCCTGGAGAAACATTTATTTTGTTCAGTGTGTGTTTTTACACTTTCCCACGTTGTCTCTGGCTGCTGCATTTGCCTCACTTTGGTTTGTTGCCTAATTGCTAAGAAGTGAGACGAATTTCAAGAGGCAGGTGCTGACAGCCACACATAGGCTAGCCTTTGTTTGTGAGGACTAAGGGGAAGCAGCAGCTCACAGTTATGAAAGTGACAACCGCCCAAACTGTTTACAAGAACAAATGTTTTCTAGAAGGTACTGGTCACCCACATTTACTGCATCGGAAATAAAAATGTATGTACTTGTGGTCGTGGTGATGGCTAGCTGCCAGATGAGGGGCTGGGCTCCAAAACGTTCCATTCCAGCACAAAATATTCCCAAACAACTATGATATAAATAGCCCCTCTGTCATCATAACCTTGTCACACTCATGTAACAGTTAGAAGCTGTTTCGCAAGCAACCAAATCTGCAGGCTGCGTAGAAGAATGAAAGGATTTTATTATCCTCAGATATGAAAACTGACACAACACAATACACAGGGACTGAAAAGTAGGTGGCACAAACACAGAAATACTCCAGGCTGCCAAGAGTCAATGTGAGCCAGATCAACACCGTGTCTGGTTAGTCCTTCAGTTATTGCGTCACACTCCAACTCCAGGAGTGCTTATGTAACAATATGGGGGATGGGATATGGTCGAACTGGATAGCGAACTGGAGAGGGTGGATGTGGGGAGGAGTCAGTGTGTGTGTGTGTGTGTGTGTGTGTGTGTGCGCGCGTGCGTGCGTGAAAAAAAGTGCATATCGACGAAATCTATCGGTATCGCGGTTTTTTATAACGTGATGGGGGTCGGCTTCAGCATTTCCGAGCCTGCATGAACGCAGCATGGAGTTTACGCCGGCGCCCGCGCTCACACGGGACACTGCACACGTATAACAACACACAACCTACACGCTCAGACAGACCTGGGTTGGTTGCTAAACTGCTCAC